CTCCACAATCTACCACTCCATATCAGCCCCACCTAACCCAACTCTCTCAGATACAAATAAGTGAGAATAGGGGTGCAGAAATATTACCTGAAACTCGTTAAAAATTGGTAAAATAGACGAATCAGTAGCAATGTATGATAGTATCTCAAGCTTCAATGCTTTTACTTGATATGAATCCGAAGAGCAGATGAAGAAGTCTTCATAGCGTGGAGCAAAGAGAGAAGGCATTGCCTTAGCAAACACTTGAATATTGCATAGAGCCTGTGGAGGTCAATTGACATTTCTTACCATCTGACAACAGAAAACTACCGGATGATAAAAATGCAATGAAAGAGCACATACAAGAGCAAAAATTGGATCCGGAAAATAGCATTGGTTCAGGTTAATTGAACCATGTATATTTAGAACTCTATATATTGCAGTTGTTCATTTTTTTCCGCATATATTGGCAATATTTCAATCTTAGTTTTGGAGTGAGAAAAGTTAAAAATTATTAGGATTGTCCACACTTGTCTCAGTGGATATATTAATATGAACTTAATTAGGAAAGGAAGCCATTTATAATGTGTAGTCCCCGACTGAAATACAAGATATGATAAATAATGTCAAAAATAAGCAAAATACCACATATTTTGCAGCATCACACGATCTGAGTAGAAACACTAATGGTTTAACAATTCTTTTTATGTTTTCCCTTGGAGCCATAATCCAATGTACGCTAGCAGCCGCAAGAACCACTGCACTATTGTTACTCCATAACAAAGGCGATGTACACTGCAATAAGATCCTGATATCATCATTCTCCTTACTAGACACAAAATGTCCATCATTCAATTTAGGAAAAACTTCATTCGAATAACTTAGTCGTGATAAATATTCATCTGGTCCTTCAGTATAACATCTGGATATCATATTTGTTAATGCTGTATCACAAAATCCATTCATCTCACTATCTTCTTTGGCTGATGTAAGATTGTTTGCAAAGCCATTCTTTTCTGAACTATAATTCTTCTCTGCAGGTTGCAAAGAATGCATAATGGATTCTCTAACAAGCCCAAAACTTGCTACAACATAGCGCAAAAGGATTCCAATCAAGATTATTTGACCCCATTCCTCAACATCAGGTAAGACTTCACATAACCTTCGATAATTTCTTCCAATCAGAGTCAGATCGTTTGGACAGATAGAAGCAAATGCAGCAGCCGCAGCACCAATGACACCAGGGGAGGAATCACTTAACAGTATCTGTACAGTCTGATAAAAAAAAAATGAAAGCTTAATTATAATTTATAATGCAGTAGCACTCAGCAAATATTCTATGGAGCAGAAATACTAAAGATAAGAGTTGAGCGAAGAATCAGCCAATAGAATAAACATTATATACACTTCCCCCTCTATTTGACATACCAATAATATTCATGATTTAATAGCGACACAGTTACTTGTCAAGCCATGAATCAAACAAACCTCTTTAATGTCCGAACCATTTTCTTCCAGGCGCAAATCATGAAGCTTTGGAAGAGCATTGGCTGCACATTTTCTAACATAAACAGATGGGTCCCTGGCACATTTCCTTACTGCCACGAGAACAAGCGGTGCAATGGCATGTAGACGAATTCCTGCCATGGTCCGCAATGCCCATGCCCTCACGAGGGGATTTGTATCCCCCAAGTCTTTCTGGAAACAATTGATCGACAGCAATGCTTCATTTGGACGCCTAAAGTGCAATACACAACTTACAGTAAATATAACATAAATTGTCACACCTTAAGCATTCACCAATGGACGACAAATCACAATTCAATAGCAGCTCATGATGATCGAACCTAGCACATGTTAAGATGCTAATGTTATGGCATTATAAGCCACGACCACCCACACCACAGCCATTACTCGAGGAAAAACAGATTAAATAAAAAGAATAAGGAAAGATAGTTATGATTCAGGAACTAAAATTCGGAATATACCATACTTTTCAGCATAATGCAACAGATACAAGTAAACCAGCTTCTTCACCTCCAACGTCTGTGATGCAACATTCTTGACAACCTGAAGTTCCATATCAAATAAAGGCAAAGCTCAGTCAATTAACTGAAGTCGAATTCGAGCAATTGAAAGTGGATACAATTAATAATTATTATAAATTAATTTGACAGTTCTTCAAGAACATAACCTGAGGGAAGAAGTTGGACACATCAAAACCCTGAGCAATGAGAGCGAGTAAGCGCTTAAGAGCCTCACACTTCTCGGAGTCGAATTTACTGTCGAGTAAGGGAGCGATGTTCACGTCCTCGGGGTCGTCGTAGAGGTGGGCGTCTGTGCCGATCCGAAACACCATGGTGGAAGCTTTACTCAGCGTGTCGGAGGTCGATCCAAATTGAGTGAACATTTTCAGATTCGAATTCCAGCGACTAAATTGTGGAGTTTTGCGAAGAGAAACTGGTCCGAGATCAAGAAGCTCGGTTGAGATTTTGGCCGGCGATGGCAGATAATTCCGGTCAGTTTGGACGGATTTGAAGAACGAATTCTATTGCCGCGCCATTGCCATGTTTGGTTGTATAGAGGCTGAACTGTTTGCAGAAAGGTGAGAGCACGACGCAGGCCAGCTGATTGATATGGTTAATTTACATTACAAAAAAAAATAACAAATAACAAAATAAAAAAGCACTTTCTATAGTTTTTTTTTATTTATTTAATATCAATTTTTTCCTGCTAAACTCTTTGGTATTTTTGTCGTTAAAATAGATTTTTTACAGAATTATTTAAAATAGACTAATAAAAAAAACCGCTCGTATCTAGCGATACAAGGGATTAGAGAAGTCATCAATAATCGCCAAGAAAAAAATGCAATGGCAACACATCCATAAAATATTTTTTGTAAAATTATTATACCTTAAACTTGATAAATGTTTATTTATCTTTTTTCTTTTAGAATTTTTTTTACACTATGCTAAGGAGGGGATTGAATGGCGAAAAGTGTTGCAATTTTTACCTTAAATAATTGTAAAAATAAATTTCTTTTTTTTTTGTCGAACTTAAGTTTAAGGTAAGTTTTTAACATTTTTTTAAATTAGTGGGTAAATTAACAAAAAAAATAAATAAAACGTAAACATAAGTTTTAAAATAAGAAAATTCAAAAATCAAAATATATTTAAACATAGAAAAATAAAACATAAAAATGTTAGTCGAACACGATAGCATATCAAATTGTGGATAATTAATGTGATCGTTTTTAACCATAGGCTACATTTATCGAGCAGAGTTCATCTAATGCGATATTCGCTGACATTTGGCAGGAGTACGCGTGTCATAGTATCTTTAGAGGCGGCTAGTGACTTTCAGCTCCATGGTATGGCCCATATTTTCAGATCACATTCTCTCAAATCGCTCCCCTATAAAATGAGGAGTCAAACCATTCTCAAAGGTACACATCATCTTGCACAACACTCTTAGCTCTTCTGAACCAAGTTATCTAACTTATACATCATAGTGTATTTTAGAGAGCACCGCACTTGATTTTGATCTTGAAGGTATGTGCAAGCAAAATAGGTTGCCACATCATCATCCGTCGACCACATCAATAAATGTGATTTTGGCACCAACACCGTATATTTAACAATAGTAAAATATTTGTAGCGGTGTCCAAGTTAAAACACACACACTCTTGTGAACCAAAATACCTTCTATAAATGTAGATAATGTAATGATTGTTTTTATACTAGTTTTTTTAATACAAAGCAAATGCGGGGTGTGAGGATTTCAACGTCCGACCTAAAATGAAGGAGTAGATGTCATTTATCATCAAACAATCCTAATATTGGCTAGTTTTATATTTGTCTATCTAAATATTAGTACAAGTGAGACTATATTTAATGTGCAACTTTTAAAATTAACCTATATAATAGTTAGTCATTAGAGCATGTGAAACAACTAAAAAGACATTTAAGAATTAGTATTACAAATTACTAATTGGATTAATAATATTACAAATTACTATAAAATAGGAGGTTTCAAATGCAATATCTAAAAAAACATTTTTCTCACTGGCACTGGCACTGGCACTGGCACCCGTAGTAAGTACTATATGGTTCAGGTCTTTAGTGGGTCTATTAGTACAAATCAATCGTTTATTCCCATTATTGACTTGGGAAGGGGTGAAGAAGATTAGAAAAACAATTATGAATATACATTTTTTTTTGAGATTTTAGACTTAGAATAAGTTAGAAAATAAAGAAAAAAAAGTGGATTCAACCTCGGTGTCGGGATCCAATTGAATTAATAAAAGAGTGAGAATTGAGTATCATTACAAGCTACTTTGAGTTTGATTTCTCACCCCACATGTTGTACTACCAGACCTACGCGCTAGCCAATTGCACCGAGGTTGGATCTAATTGAATTAATCCAAATCTCTCTTATTTATATTAAAATAAAAAAATTAAGAATTTTTACTTAATAAGTTATATGATTGTTCTTTATTATAGTAGGCAAGTTATGATTTGTCTGTAATTTTATAATTCATTATTTTTTACAAATATAAAAGAATTGACTATAACTGTCCCCCCCAAAAAAAAAAAACATTGACCATCGTAGTTACAATACACTACTGTTATAACTAACAAAATGTTTCCTATCCAAAAAACATCTCGCTACTCTCTCCCAAGTCCCAACCTCCTCTTACTTTTGTGGATTTGATTAAAATTTATTTTTTTCTTTTCTAATTCATATCCCAACTTGAACTGATGTGGACCCATAATTGATAGCTGTCAAGGTTATGTTACATTTAACGGCACAGAGATTAGATTTAGTGAAATAAAGGTGTCTTTTTTACTTATTAGTTATTAGTTACATATTAAAGAAAAGAGAGAGAGAGAAAAAAAAAGGTGTAGAGGGCAGACAGTCAATTATTGAAGTTAAATCGCGGGCGGAGCAACCCTCAAACCAAGAGTAATTTCTCAAAATATTTATAGGCGCAGCGCAGGCCTAATGGTGGGGGGCTCAGAAGTCAATGGTAAAAAGATTGAAGAAACTTGGTCAGACTCAGAGCTCAAAGCTGGCTTCAGCCATGGAGTTTAGCGCTTTTGGAGTGTGAGCCTGCTGACGCGCTCACATGCGCGTACCATTTCCCTCATCTTTTTCTTTTGCTCTCACTCTCAGCGTACCCATTTGCGGACCCCTCCCTGACCCTCAATTCGATTTTGTCGCTGCTGTGCCTGTGGCTCACTTTTTTGTACACTGTCCAGACTCGCTCCTCGCTCCAACCCCAACACTTCGATTCGCTCTAAATTCGCGAATTCAATTCCCCTTTTCTCAGCTCAGGGAAGCTCACCAACTCCTTTTTTTTTTCTGCATCAGACGCCTCAGGATTCAGGATTCTGCGATTATTGTCAGGTGATCCATGTTTTGTTCTGCTTTCGAAGGGTTTCTTTTGCTTTTGGGTGATGTTTCGTTTGAATTGGGGTGAATTACTTTAGATTTACCTGGTGTATTTCATGCATGGTTTGACTTCTGTTTCACGAACATTATGCATTTCTTCTTTGAGCTGATGGCTTTGAGACATTTCTGATCTGGTTCTACTGTTCAGGTTTAGTTTCGTTACTGATCCTTTTTTTTTCCCCGTCATCTTTTAATGTGGAAGTGTAGATTTAGCTGTTCAGCTACGGATTTTGAACGATGGCATTTGCTAGATTATTTTCTTTCTTTAATATGGTAATGGGCTTCACGGGGTTAGGGATTTGTGGTTGTCTGAACAGTTCAGTAGCGAATTTTCTTTACCCATTGACAAGCATGGTTTGAAGGTGTGTTTTGTTTGCTTAACCTTTTTTAATCCTCTGTGTTTGCTTAATAGCTTTAGTAATGTGAGTCGGCAGTTCCAATTGCTCTTTCTTTCTATGATCTGTGAAGCATCAATTGTGTCATCGATTGTCCTTGATTACGTGGATTCAAATATCACCACCAAATTATACATTTGACATATGAATTATTTGCTAGGTGCTCTTCATCAAGTTTTATGGGAAGTTCCGGAGATGACTCTGACGTGGACACTGATATGAGTGAATCTGAACTGGATGAGCGGGCAAGCAAGTCCTATGAAGAACTGAAAAATGGAAATCATATTGTGAAACTCTCGCACGAGACATTTACTTGCCCCTACTGCACGAGAAAAAGAAAGAGAGATTTCTTATATAAGGACCTCCTGCAACATGCTGCTGGAGTAGGCAACAGCACTTCAAATAAACGGAGTGCCAAAGAGAAAGCAAATCATTCAGCTTTACTGAAATATTTGCAAAAAGATATAGCTGATGCTGTTGGTCCATCAAAACCTGCAAACAAAAATGATCCTGTTATGGATTGTAATCATGATGAAAAGTTCGTTTGGCCTTGGAGAGGAATTGTGGTAAACATTCCAACTAGGCGTACAGATAACGGCCGACTTGTTGGAGGAAGTGGATCAAAATTCAGGGATGAATTGAAAGAACGAGGATTTAACCCCTCAAGAGTCACTCCTTTGTGGAATTACAAGGGCCACTCAGGTTGTGCTATTGTGGAATTTAATAAAGATTGGCCTGGCTTGCATAATGCTATTTCTTTTGAGCGAGCTTATGAAGCAGATCATCATGGGAAAAAGGATTGGCTGGCTACTGGTGCTGAAAAACTGGGACTTTATGCTTGGGTCGCTCGTGCTGATGATTACAACTCAAGTAATATAATTGGAGAACATTTACGTAAGATTGGAGACCTTAAGACCATATCTGAAATTATACAGGAGGAAACACGGAAGCAAGATAGACTTGTGTCCAACCTTACCAGTATCATCGAGCTCAAGAACAAACACTTGAAAGAGATGGAGGAAAGATGTAGTGAAACTTCCACCACCCTTAACAATTTGATGGGGGAGAGAGATAGATTACTTCAAGCTTATAACGAAGGTTTCTTATACAGAGATTTTAATTATTCTTTTGTACATTCTAAAACCAGGAAACCTGTTCCATATTATTACATATTACTTTTTCTTTCATGGAGCTCCCAAGTTGTATCGTTGAATTCATGTAATGTTTGTCACATCTACAGACATAAAAAAAATTCAACTGGGTGCAAGGGATCACCTTAAGAAGATGTTCGATGGTCATGAAAAACTAAAGTTGCAACTGGAATCTCAAACAAGAGAGTTTGAGTTAAGAAGAAGAGAACTGGAGAAGCGTGAAGCACAAAATGAAAATGAGAGCAAGTATCTGGCTGAAGAACTTGAGAAGGTACACTCTTATTTAACAGGAAATAAGAGATGCATTAAATAGTTAAGAAAGTACAAAAAGAGAAGGTACATTCTTTTATGGTTGATTCTCCTGACAAATATTTGTTGGTTCGTGATTTATAGAGGTGAAGGGAAAAACGATAGTCATCTTTCACCTGTCTTTGCCGTTAGTTTATCTTTGTTGCTTACCACAGTCCTAGCATTTGAAAATGTGCTTGCATCTATAACTTAACAAATAAATGAAATGTTTCTTCTGGGTTCTCCCTTGCTCCCTACTTCTATCTTCACCTCTTATACTTTTAAGAGATGTTTAACTCATTAGTCAGATTTGTAAAGTTTGGAGCTGTGAAATTGGGTAGGTAGGTTTACTTATATATATTTTTTTTAACAAGAAACAAACTTTGAAAACGATGTTACAAACCCCCAAAAGGAGCGAAAAAGAAAACAGGTAGGTTTACTTATATTAAGTCACAACTTTAGTAATCTCTTGGGCTACATTAATTCAAGCATCTAACTCGCATCTCTTAGGCTACACACTTGCTCTTACAAATCGCAAACTCACAGATCAAACCTAGACAAACTTATTATTTTTTTGGTATGAAATATACAAAAGGCCACAAGGGCAAACCTACACAAACTTATTTATCTACACAATCCAAACTCAAACTACAAATCTAGCTCCCCATCTGCAAAATATTAACACCATGGGCCAAACATCTCCTCAAGGGGTGGAATTCTATGTGAGTTAGCCGATGTAGTTGCRCGTCTTATTTTGATAAATCTGTCTTCTCTCCATTTTAGGGGCGGGCTGCCATCATTGGGACTACTTATTTTATTTTATTTTTAAATTTCAGCCATTTTTGTGAATGTTAAATTGTAAAACCATAACTTTTAACCAAAAATAATTATAAGAAATATATCATATATTTATCTGATCCTATCATTTTTTTACCTCATTATTATTACATGAACTCATTAAGCTAGTTGCTCTTTTGATTATTCAATTCTTTGTGTTCTTCAATTTATTAATTTGTTAATTTATTTATTTTGATGATAACTAATTAAATTTATGTTTGGCTCTTTCAACTGTCTAGCTCTAGATCTGCCCCTGCACACTTACACGCACTAAGAAGGCACAGAATCATGCAGTTTGCCTTCGACATATCAACTTTTTAGCGTGACAAATATGCTGGTTTTATTTTATGTTGAGCAAATGCCTAAAGAAATGTTCTAGGGCATTCCATGTTGTTCGGAAATTGATTTAAATTACTTATTGATTAGGGTGTTCTGATTTATTGCTTTCTGTAATGTCTGAACCAACTACTAATGGGATACATGTAAGAGCTGCAGTCTACGACCTAATGAGCATGTGATGGTGTGTCACATTGAG